ATTGAATGGATTCTGTTCTGTTCCCAACATCAGTATTTGATCACCTTTTAAATGCTTCGTAAATACAGTGAGTGCGTTTACATGCACTTAATAATCTGACTGCAATAAACTGCAGAAAATCAGATTTTGTCAGTGATCTGATCGACATGTTTACATGCACTTGAGTAATAAGATAATGGGGAAACTACAGGTCTACATGAGTCAGACAGTAATCAGATTTCTGCTTTGCAACCAGGCAATAAACTCACAGAAGAAGACGTAACGTAAACGTAATGTAAAACTCTTTTTTTAAACATCACACCACTTTATCTGAAAATATGAACGTACATCAACTAGAAGATGAAGAATATTTAAATCCTTCATTTCGTCAAGCATGTACTTGGTTTCAGCGTCGCTCCATAAGTATTTCGCGGCAACACTGCTCGCTTATTTCCGGTACTGCGGTCTGTTTTCGCACATGCTCCGACTGAGAAATCCGAAAGAAATCAGAGTAAGAGTTCACATGCACTGAGAAATCTGATTACTGAGCTAAAATCCAGCTCTCTTTATCAGATTTCTTAGATTTCTAGACCTTGCTCTGATCTAAGAAATGTGTGCTGTTTACATGACCATTTGAATAATCAGATAACTGCAGAAATCTGATTATGATCGGATTATTGAGTGGATGTAAACACAGTGTTAGACTTCAAACTTAAGTGTTGAGTGCAAACATCCTTGCAGCAGCTGCCATGGTCAGCTGTTTAAACCTGACAGCCCTGTTTCATTACTATTATCACAAATAGCATCAGTTTGCTTTCATTAATGTTCAGATAGAATGGCCGATACTCGTGTTCTCCAAACATGAAAGCAAGTCACAGCATCAGTGAGCAGAAATGTGTATCACTGCTGTCGGAACGAAACCTCATATCTCCAAAAAGGTAACTTTACGAGAAAAGAAAAGAAACGTTTCTAACTTTTAACCCTTGTGTGGTGTTGATGTGTTTGTTACTCAGTGGTCTGGTGGCCCCACTATAACACATACAGCCATAACAATTTATGTAAAAATACCAGATGTTAAAAATATCAGAAGTGTCCAGCATAGGGTTCTCATTTAGCAGCTGTAGCCAGTCAGCAGCCATGTTGTCCATGTTGTCCACCCTCACACACACACACATATACAAACATACACACACACAGACACACACACTAACAGCAGGCCATGTAGGAGGAGAACAGAGTGAAGGACACAACACCTCCACACCTTTACTCCCCGCAGGTTCACCCAACACCACGTGTAATATAAGTGTGTTGGGGGTGAACAGAGTGAAGACACTGAAAATGGGTTATTTTATATGTTCCTCACAGAAAATGAGCAAAGACCAAGAATCTGAGGGTGAAATAATAATAAATCACATCATTTTTTCTTTTGCTTTCGGTAAACATTAATAATGGGTCCCACAGACCTGAACACCACACAAGGGTTAAAGGACATAAATGGAGAAATATTTTTTTCAGGCGATTTTGGACCATTTCTGTTGGTCTGTTCATTTAAGAAATTTTGACACAACATAAAAGGGAACTGCCTTTTTCAAATTATGCCAAGAAATGAAAAACAAAATTAGAGAGGTTTTGTCCTGACTGTTTTACTCTGCGATGTACTGCGGTCATCTTTTTTCTTCTTAAGGTCAATGGGAGGAATGAGGAACTGGACATACAGGCTCTGCCCTGCTGAAAAAACCCATAGAAACCACTGTGTTTCTGTTGGTTTATGATGGTTTTATGTGTTTTGACTTTTTTGATGGGTTGATATCACAATGTAAAGGATCCTAGTAGTTTAACCGGTGACCAGTGGCTGATTCTACATGCATTTGATGGGCTCCTAATGGGAACTAAATGTGTTCTACAGGAAACTAGTGGTCCTATTGAAAACCATAAAGCCAATTCCTATTAGAAAGCAAAATCCTAATGGTTTCTAATGGTCTTTTTTTTTTAGCAGGGTGCGCAGATCTGCTCATGCAAATAACATTTAATATAACATTAAAAAGATATTCTCAGACACTGGCAGGTGAATGTTTGTGGCTGGATTTTTGCCTTATATGCTGCATATAGCCTGTATAACTCACAGCACACTTAAAAAGATGGTTCTTCAAGGGTTCTTTGGTAGAAGTAATGGTTCTATTTAGATGACTATATAGCACCAGTTCATGCCTGAATGGTTCTATGCACAGTAAAATGGTTCTTCAGACTGATGGAGAATGTCTTGTCTATGGCTCTATATAGCACCAAACAGGGTTCTACTATTGTAAGTTTGATGTAACACCCTGTTTGGTGCTACATAGAACCACAGACAACACATTCTCCATGCATAGAACCATTAAAGCATAAAATGGTTCTATATAGCATTCATGCTTCTAAATAGAACCATTACTTCTACCAAAGAACCCTTGAAGAACCATCTTTTTAAGTGTGTATATAACTTACATTAGAGTAGTTAGAGAATCATTATTCCTTCTTTTAGATCATTTTTAATCTGTCATATTTTAAAGAAATAATAAGTTTGGGTGACGTCATTTATCACATTAGGGATAAATAACATCATAACCCTCCGCCTAAAATGTATAGCAATAAAAAAGTAATATTCAGTAAAGGGAGCAGTTAATATTCTATGTTCTGTCATTTTCAATGTGTACGCCTGACTGTATGCTATTTCAAATATATTTTCTCATTAAATATTTAAAAAGTTTGATGTTATAGCTTTTATCACTGCGTTCTCGTCATTTTCCATCTGACATTTCCCGGGTGAGCGCCCTCAAGGGGTGATTTACAGCAAGGACAGCTCCTTTTCTAGTCATTAGTTTTAGTAGAGCGCCCTCTGGTGGCTATTTATAGCGCAAACAGGCTCTTTTCCACTGTTTCAGTAGCGCGCCCTCTAGTGGCTATCTATAACAAACGTGCTCTCTGACGCTCAGTAGAGCGCCCTCTGGTGGCCATTTACAGCACAGAGACTAAGTCACCATTTTAGTCGAGTGCCCTCTGGTGGTTATTTATAGCACAAACAGGCCCTTTGCCACAGTCCTAGTAGAGCGCCCTCTGATGGCTGTTTACAGCAACCAGAGGCTTTACCAGTGAGTTTAGTAGGGCGCCGTTTAGTGGTGATGCACTGCAGATACAAGCTTTTTAACACGCTTAACCACGAGTTTTAGCGCCCTCTCGTGGTCATGGGCAGCACATACAAGCCCTTTCAGACGCCTTCGTTCGAGTAGAGCGCCCTCTAGTTATTGATGCACATACAGGCGCTTTCCTGCTGTATTTACACACCCTTAACCTTCTTCCTTCAGCTGCAGAGGTCTGGTGGTGACAGACTGAAGCACTTTTCTTAGATGTGGGTTTTTTTAAAGGCCTTGACGTTCATTCACTTCAGTGACTTTAGAGCCTTTTCATTTCTCGTGTTATCTATTGCACTCAGTGCCTTGAGCACATGGCACGTTTTGCTCAGGCTCAGTGTCAGACTTGCGTGGTGTATTACTGTCACCATCACTCACTGTGAGCTCTACAATTAGCACCACCCATTAAAAATGCAGAAACGTTTTTGCTGTCCTACTGGAGGACACACCCTGCAGAAGGCCGACTACACTGACATGTGGGCAACAGTTACCGCCACTATCTGTTCAGCTTCCCTGTTTGGGTACAGCTTAATATACATGTCCTACGTTCAGCCCAGCTGTGTCAGAGGCCCAATAAGTAGTGCAGTTTCTGAAAGTATCTTATAAAGTCTCACTGACCCAGCCCTATTCCCTTTACAGTCTGCAGCTGACCTGTCTCATCTGACCCTGGACACACCACCGATAAACTGGTATTAACCTAGAGTAGAGTAACTATATACACTTCACTAGGGTGCTAATGTCACCACCAGACTATAAAGAGGTGATAACATTACATTAGGAGTGATTTCCAGGAGTGAATAACCATTGGTAACGCACTTCAGCACAAGCCTGGGCTTAATATACAACTAGACACCACTAAACCACACAGTGACAAAACAGACCAACCCTGGTTTCATAGTATCTCCTGAAAGTTTTAGGGGAAGCAAGCAATTTACATTCTCAGCAAAACTCGGCAGGATAAACAGCAAACTAGAACTCCCCACTGTAAACACCACGTGTTCTTTGTCCAGGCAGTGTCAGACTTGCGTGGTGTATTACTGTCAACATCACTCACTGAGCTCTACAATTAGCACCATCTATTAAAAATGCAGAAACGCTTTTGCTGTCCTACTGGAGGACACACCCTGCAGAAGGCCGACTACACTGACGTAGGCAACAGTTACAGCCTCTATCTGCTCAGCTTCCCTGTTTGGTTACAGCTTAATATACATGTCCTACGTTCAGCCCAGCTGTGTCAGAGGCCCAATAAGTAGCGCAGAATTATACAAGTTTCTGAAAATCTTATTTTTCACTTTATAAAGTCTCACTGACCCACCCCTATTCCCTTTACAGTCTGCAGCCGACCCGTGTCATCTTACCCCGACACACCACCGATAAACTGGTATTAACCTAGTGTTAATACACACTTACCAGATGTTCACTAGGGTGCTAATGTTACCACCAGACTAGAAGATGCACACACTGGTGATTTCCAGGAAGTGAATAACCATTGGTAACACACTGCAGCACAAGCCTGGGCTTAATATACAACTAGAAAACACCACTAAACCACACTGACAAAATAGACCAACTCTGGTTTCACAGTAGCTCCTGAAAGTTCTGGGGGAAGCAAGCAATTTACATTCCCAGCAGGATAAACAGCAAACTAGAACACCACTGTAAACACCACCTGCTGAAAGAAGCTCTCATCAGGTGTGTGAAACATTGCCATATTCATCAAGCTGCCCAAAAACAGGCAGTCAGGTCGATCTGAACTTCACCGACCTTCGCACCAAGAACTGTACCTTTACCATCTAGTCCAAATCAAACCAGTCAAACGAAAGTTTTAGCCCTGAAAATAAGCAAACAGGCCAAACGTTAATTGTTCCCCTTTTTATTTTCAGATTTTTTGCCACACAAATTAAAGCCCATAGGCTCCTATTTGCAAATGAAAAATATAACGAACTGATCAAAAAGGCAACTCGTCAGAAGGGACAGAAACAGACGGGTTGAAAGGATGGGCTAGGAGTAAAACCGGACAGGAATGTTGCTGTTTAAACCAGGATTTACAGGGTCTGAAAGACGCAGGGTTTTGGGGGGCTTTGCGGGGGGTGGGGTCTACAGCTGGCCGCAGTTGGCAACGACAATCTTGGCTGAGGTTTTGCCACTGTTGGAGCCGAAACTCTCCACCTTCTTGATGACATCCAGGCCCTCCACAACCTGGCCGAAGACCACGTGCTTTCCATCCAGCCTGAGAGAGTGAGAGAAGACACATTTTACTTCACAGCCAGATCAGAATTTTTGGGGCACGAGACATTCAGGCTCATCAGTTTGTGCAAACTTGACAACCCCTCAACCACACCCCCAGTTTCGCCCCACAAAATACAGATGCGAGGTCACTTTAAACCCAGAAGGCCTGCACTATACACCATTACCATACCTTTAAAAAGACACTGGTTTTTGCCAGGTTGATAACTGAAGGGTGTAATATGCAAATGAGCCTATTAACATTAAATTTTACTCCATACTGTGAAATTATTGACCACAGTCCCAGCGGAGTTTGTGGGCATCACTGAAGACATTCATGTAATTTAACAGTGTACATCAAAATAAAGCAGGTTAATCTTTAAAACATGTCACAGTGATTGACCAAGGCATCAATATACTGCAATACAAAAGGGTTGAACTAACCAGCTGGTTTGAGCTGTGCAGATGAAGAACTGGGAACCGTTGGTGTTGGGTCCAGCATTGGCCATGGACAGGCAGCCGGGCCCTGTGTGTTTCAGGCTGAAGTTCTCGTCCTCAAACTTGTGGCCATAGATAGACTTGCCGCCAGTTCCGTTGTGGTTCGTGAAGTCGCCACCCTGAACATCAAAGCAGGTTTAGACCATGGGAAGATGGAGCAACTCCAAAAGGCCTCTTCAAAACAAGCACACCTAACAACGTCCCCTCCAATACATGCTCACTTCACCAGCTCTACATCCCCACCCCTATAAGAGGCGGCCTGAAATAAGAGGGGGCAACGTACAGAAGAGGATAAAGGTCAGTACCTGGCACATGAAGCCAGGGATGACACGGTGGAAAGTGGAGCCCCTGTAGCCAAAGCCAGGCTGTCCTGTGCACAGCTGCCTGAAGTTCTCTGGAAACAGAGCAGTTGTACAGTTAGACCGTCTTTTATAACCAGTTAAACCACTTTGCAAGACAGACGGAAGCCAAAGTGAACTCACCTGCTGTTCTGGGGACAACATCAGCTCTCAGCTGTCGAAAAGAAGAAATTAAAGTTTACAAATGTTTACAAAGCAATAACAGACACAAGGACATCAAAACAGGCTCCGATGCACTTGCACTTGAAAGGCTGAGCTAAACAAAGACATGGGGGAACAGGAGGGGAGCACAGGGTGGGGGTAAGGGGGCACCAAGGGCATGGGAGGGGTCATGAAGGCACAGCTGCAAGGAAGGGGCAGACACCAGCTTCTGCGGCAGGGCTGCACTGGGAAACACACCCAAGAACAACTGGTCAGAGAACTCGGGGATGCACCAAATGAAACGCGCCTTTGCAGTGGAGTCGTGCATACGTTTACACGAGGCAGGCCGAGAGACCTGCTATGGAGGTTTTATTATTTAAAAAAAAAAAGTTTGAGCACTATTAATTACATTAATGCATTACCATATAAAACTCAATTTTACGCATTTAAGACTAAAAATGACTTCAAATAGGCAATAAATTAATATTTAAATACCTAAAATGTGTCTGAGAAGAAAATTACAATGACATCCTACTAGGCTACAGAATAAAAGCCTAAATGTATAAAAAGGGGGTTCAAGACTGGAAAAGACTATTCAAACAAGCATTAAATTAATATTTAAAATACTAAATAAATAAAAAAAATAAAATAAATAAATAAAATCACGTCTGTAGTACTACGGCAGACCACGTGCTCAAAGCGGCTCACATTTCCTGTTTTTCTTCCGTTTCATTTAAAACAAGCACGTTCGCCACCTGACCAACCCCGTAAACGCCATCGAAATAAATATATATATAAATAAATAAACAGATTTATTTTGGGCATTTTTAGAGGAATTCAGGGATGTTTTATGCTCCGTCTTGGCGCGCGCAGTGTGCCCGTTTCCCCGCAGCCCCTCCCCCACCCGCCGCCTCAGAACTTTCCAGAAGCGGATCGAGTCCACCCTTCACCGGACACGCGCGCGCGCTCCGATTCCGGCCCTGAACTCCGAATAAAAACGACCGTAACTGTTTTTTCCGTCGTCGCTGATCTCATTTTATTCGCTCTGCCGTTTAAACGGCCCGACCGGCTCGAACAAAGGGGGGAAAAGGAGAAGGACGAGGCTGAAATCGGCTTCTCATTCGCCAGCTTTTTGTTCGAATCTTCCCGTTCCACCTTAAATGCTGCAGCAGCTGAACGTAACTGCTGCACTGTTTAAGGCGGAACGGGAAAATTCGAACAAGTTCGCTTCAGCTTTGCAAAAAGGGGGCAGCGGTTTCTGCTCAAGTGAACCAGTTCAGCTTGTCTACACCAGACTCTTATTTAAAATAAAAGTTTATTATTATTATTATTATTATTATTATTATGTAAATGCACCAAGGCGTAGCTAAATTTCTACGTATTTCAAGCTTAGTCTGTCAACACCAGGGCTCATTTATAAGCAGGAAAGTCTTCGTTTTATTCATTATTTACTACACGAGGCTTCTTATTCGAACTTCCCCGTTCCACCTTAAATGTTGCACCAAAAATAGAAATGCACTGAATTGATTCTTTTCACTGGTTATTTCCAGTGCATCTATATTTGGAAATATTAAGGCATGCGCTTTTAAAAGTTCCTGTAAGTGATGTTAGCCTTTTAATCCGGGCTCTGAAAGCCGGGTGGAGATGCAACAACATTGCGTCAAAAACGCAAAATCGTCACCCTGTTTTTTTGCAGTTATATCTGTTCAAGATGGCGTCCAGCTCTGCAAACATGTGAGCCAGGCGAGCACATTTCGTAATCTGATTTCATGAACCACGTTATGCGTGACTGAGACCGGGGCACCATGTAACCCAAGCTTCTTTACTCCACAAGCCCGTAAGACGCTGCAGCTCAAGGCGGCCTCTCATAGCCGGAGACGGCGCTCGGGCTACACAGCGCTCCGGCTCACGTGTGCTAAGGTTGGCGGTCAGGATGTTAGAATTAAAATGCAACTAAAAAAAAAAAGTTCGGCCACGTATTAAGGTGTGCAAAGTCCACACATTAAAAAAAAAAGCTTGCATGAACTGGAAAAAGGAGAAAAGTGGCGCCTCCTGCCCTTTTTTCTTTCTTTTTTTCGGAAGGGTCTCAGCGACAGTCCTTACGATGCACAGGCGGCGCTGAAGCTCAAGGGTGGCGGGTAGGGGGGATACAGCGGAGCGGAGACGGATCAATGAAAAGTGCAGGGTCGAGTGGAAAATTACAGTCATTTCCTCAAGCAGGCAGCGGGAGCACAAGCGCGCAAACCCACCTCCATAACCACTCGCCCCACGGGCTTGCCGTCTGCGGTGATGTCGAAGAAGACTCTAGGTTTGCCCATGGTTCCTTTTCCTTCCAATTCGGCTGTTTTTCGGTGTAGATGATGTCCAAGCCGGAGCCCTTTGTCTCACCCGGACGGTCGGTGTGGTCTTGGAATGGAGGAGAGAGGGGAAGGCGCCTGCTGGGCTTTATAAGAGCCACACGGCGGGCGGGGCTAGAGCGAGCTCCAGCCAATGAGCGCGTAGAAGCGCTTTCAGTGACGCCTGCGGTAGCCAATGGGATTGCTAGACGGGCTCTTCGTCACCGGCCCGGCCTTAAGGAAACGCGGTTTGGAGGGTGTGTGTTGAGCGTAGTGAAGAGCTGAACAAAGACAGGCGCTGGAAAGAAAACAGAATTTCAGTGAAGTTAGAGAAAGAGAATGAACTGTCTGCAGAGGAGGAAAAGTTAAAATCTCTGCAGCTGGAAATTGAGCATCTCTATATGAATATCGCACAAGGTGCATTCATCCCTTCTAGAGCTGAGTGGCTTGAAAATGGTGAAAAGAATACTAGTGACTTTTTTTGCTTTGGGAGAAAATACATTTTAAAAGTAAGTCATTGTCTAGTTTGAAAATCAGTGAAAAACCATGTCAAGCAAATTTTATGGACATTCTAGAAATCATTAAATTACACTGATTTCAATCCTAGTGGCTGCATCGCATCACAGCAAGTAGGGTCTGGGTTTGATTCCCCAGCCGGGCAACCGGAGCTCTGTGTCGGTTTCCTCCCACAGTCTAAAGACATGCAGTCAGGCCAATTGGAGGTGCTAAATTTCCCCTTGGTGTGAATGTGTTTGTGTGTCTGCCCTGTGCTAGACTGGCGACCTGTCCGGCGAATTTCCTGCCTTCCGCCCAATGAGCGCTGGGATAGGTTCCAGCTCCCCCCGCCACCCAGGAGGATAAGCGGTTTAGATGAATGAATGAATGAATGATTTTAATCTCTCGTATTGTCACAGTTTTTTACAGCAGGTTAGTGGTGGGTATGGGTGTCATTTCTAATGAGTTTAAAGAAGCTTTGTGAGTCTAAGTTATCCATACAGGAGCTAAAAGAGTCCAAGAAATTAATGAAAAAAAAGAAAGTCTCCTGGTCAAGACAGTCTTACAGTAGAATTATTTTTGTTGGAGATGGGATTTGTTGGAGAAACCTCTCTTTGCTGTTCCTAAACAGTGCATAACAAAAAGGCAATATGACAGCCACGGTGAAGCAAGGCGTTACGTCCTTGATTCCAAAACCTGATAAAGATTTATTTTCCATAGAAAATTGGAGACCAATCACATTAAATATCGATTACAAGCTATTCGCATTAACATATGCTAATAGACTTTAAAAAGGACTACATAGTATTGTTCATGAATCCCAAACTGGGCCCATATATAAGCAATAATATACACATAATCTGTGATCTAACTATTTTATTGACTCAGACTTTCTCATTGGTTTTATAGTCCTACGTAAGACATTTGATACAATTGAACATGAATTCTTAAAGTTATTTGGTTTCGGTGATAATTTACAGTCTGTCATTAAAATGTTTTAAATGGTATAAATAGCTCTGTAATACTTCTAAAAGATTTCAACTTAGTTGGATATGTTTGATTGGTATTCACAAACATCCTCTACTGAAAGGTATTTCAATTCATCATTCATCATCTGAGCTGCTTATGCCTGGGTCGTCGGGGGTGCTGGAGCCAGTAACAGCACTCACTGGGCAGAAGGCAGTTCCATTTTCTGGAAAGGTCGCCAGTCCAGACACATAAACATTCACACCTAGAGGCAATTTAGTATCTCCGGTTCTCTTCATGTCTTTGGACTGTGGGGGGGAAACCCACACGGACACGGGGAGAACATACAAACTCCACACAGAAAGGACCCTGGTTACCCGGCCGGGGAATCGAACCCAGACACTTCTTGCCGTGAGGCGCCAGCGCGCCGCTCCGATATTTCAACTTTTTAAAGGAAATTAGAATCTCTCAGCTGGCAGATGATACAACCTATTAAAACCTTTTCTCTTGCCTCTGGCTTTGAAACCTAAACAAATGTGAGTGTTTCTGCTTGTGTGACACTCAGGATAAAAATGTCCATGGCATACAAATTAAGGAGTGTGAAATACCTGGGTATATGTTACCATAGATCTCGTTGTCAGGCAGCATCTCAATTTTTCTTCTAGACTTAAAAAAACTACATCAGTTTTTAATAACTGGCTTCGGAGAGATCTTTCCATTTTCATGTCATATGGAAGAACAAGCATCATCAACTCAGAAGCTCAGTACTGTCCTGCCAAAAATTGAAAGGTGGGGTGGAAAGCTTAGACTTTTTTTTGATGTCAGTAATACATTCAGGGTGAGCTGGGAGGCATTACACAAAGCTGAATTTCTCAGTTAGCCAGAGACCTTAAGCCCAAAGATGAGGACTGTCCAACAGGAAGGTCCCTCAGCTCTTTTTCTATTGGTCAAGATATCCTTATCGAAGGAAAACCATAATTTTCCCATCATTTTTAAGGAGTTTATCTCTGTCTGCAAAACAATCCCGTCTGGCTTGTTGCTATTGATGAAACGTTTGCATTGCTTTGCAGACAAATGTATAAAAGGCTGGCTTGATTCTTAATGGACTCTCTAAAAAGTATAGTGATACATATATTCGGATCCTGTTTTTATTCCAGACATAAAATTTCATGCATATACACATATATACACATGCGCATATATACACATGAATATTTAAGCAATTGATTACACACCCCAGACAGGTCGCCAGTCCATCACAGGGCAGACACACAAACACGTTCACACCAAGGGGAAATTTAGTATCTCCAGTTGGCCTGACTGCATGTCTTTGGACTGTGGGAGGAAACCGGAGCACCCAGAATAAACCCACACAGAGCTCCGGTTGCCCTGCTGGGGAATCGAACCCAGACTCTCCTTGCTGTGAGGCGATGCAGCCACTAGGATTAAAATCAGTGTTATTTAATGATTCATAGAACGTCCATTCAAAATTTGCTATCTGTTCAGTATCTTGACATAGTTTTTCACTGATTTTCAAACTAGACAATGACTTACTTTTAAAATGTATTTTTTCCCAAAGCAAAAAAGTCACTAGTATACTTTTCGCCATTTTCAAGCCACTCAGCTCTAGAAGGGATAATAATAATAAACTGGGCCGTGAACGCGGCATTTAATGTTTTAATGTTAGCAAGTCCTTCCGCCAAATTATAGTTGGTTGCTACGTCAGAGTAACGAGCTCTGCTCACTCCCTGCACAGCCAGCAGTTCGTTCTCCAGCTCCTTACAGACCAACTGACAGTTTGGGAATTTAGTGTCGTCTCATCTTCAGAGTCTGACCAAATCGGCTGTCGGTCAAATGTGATCTTAAAAGTGTCCATTTTCTGTTTGTGGAAAGTAAGAAGTAAAAACGTTCAAATGGCTTGAGCGTCTCCTACAGCTGTCAAAGTCGTTGCTTAGCAATGGCGTCTCAGCGGAGTGATACAGTGTTTGTGAAAAAAATGGCAAAATAACAGCAGTTAGAACGCTTCTCAACCAATCAGCTTGCGTGGTGCGTGCACGCGCGCGCACACACACACACATATATATATACACACACACACATATATATTCTATGTTATGTATATACACACTTTTATATCGTCACTGTCCAATGAAAAACAAGCATCTCCAAAATATTCACTTTACAGAACAAGGCAGAAACACTCACCTTTCAATGTAGATCAATGTAAAGAGATTTTGTTCCAAGTGATTTTAGAGCACTTCTATTGGGCCATTCATCATGAAATGTTTACACAATCTAAAGGACAGGTGGTTTGTTGATATGATGTAGAAAACTAAAAAAAAAATCAACAAAAATTGAGATAAATGGCTTTCATTGGACAGCGACGATATACATATATACACACACACACACACATCTCGCTGCTGTTGGAAGAAAACCCATTTTTGTCGTTTTCCAGTTTTTTAAATATTTCAAAATGCCTGTTGCCCTTTACGTTGTGTGTAAATTTCATGATTAATGGACCAGAAGAAACGACCCAAAATGACTAGGAAAAAAAATCTGGTTCTATTGACTTGCATTAAAAGTATAGTAGGTTTTTTCCTTTTTCCTGTAGTTACCATTTCAGAGATGCAAGGTTTTCTTCCAACAAGTTACATATTACTCACACACTTGGCACGTATATTCATGTTATATTGGTTGTGAATGTGTCCCTGATACTTTTAATCCTTTATCTTGTTATTTCCACCTTTTTCACAGCCTTAACGAAGCAGCGTCCATCTTCATTCATCAATAAAAAATAAAGGCACATCTCGAGAGCTCTGAGAAGATAATGTGTTTATTGAATGAAGATAAACAAGGACAAGATTCTCAGCTCCCTAAAATAAAAATAAATAAAATCATCCACTTTTTCTCCGAAAGATGCGATTTCCTGTATTTTCTTTTGTAGAGCATTCCCAAACCAACAGGATTCACTGTGAATTCAGCCGTGCTGTTCTGTTACTTCTTCCAATCAGAGCAGTGGTGTATTGTTTTGGCACATGAGATGGAGGAAGAAAACTATTAGCAATGAAGTTTACAGTAGGCAGAGGGGGTCTTAGTGTGCAACATCTGAGAATGCACTCAAAAACGGGACAAGGCAGCACTCTCAATCTTCCTGCCCTTTCATACTTTCGCCATTAATCATGAACCTCTCCTTTTGTGCGAACATCTTCATATAAATACAATCATACAACTAAAATATCCATATCTGAAGACCATTTGTTTTTTTTTGCCAGAAAACAGTGCAAAGACACTGGAAATGTGTCAGTTTATCCATCTGCTGTACAACTTCACCCAGGAATGCAATCCCGAGTGTGATCACGCAAAATTTTTCCCTCATTCTGACATTTCTGTGTACAGAAACCGCATTCCAATGAGCCAACGACCGGGATGTGAATGATGATAAAGCAAAAAAAGAAAAAAGATTAAAGCGTTTGAAAGAAATTTGGATACAATTATCTGAGAGCAGACATAATTACCCTAGATCAACAGAGCAGTAGCAACAAAAAGTGAAATATTTTTGATCACCGTGTTGTTTGTGGATGGATCACAAGTTCTGAAACTGACTCTTGTCCTAAACAGGTGCCACTGGGGACCTGAACCACTTCTACC